ACAGACAGACAGACAGACAGACAGACAGACAGACAGACAGACAGACAGACAGACAAAGGGAGACAGAAGGAGGCAGAAGAAAGAGAGAGGGATAGAGCTCGTTAAAGAATTAATTAGGAAACTCACCTAAAATCTTGCTGAGTTCTGCGTTGTGAATGTCAGGGTGCTCATCTGCCAATCTTTTCCTCTCGTCCTTAGCCCACACCATGAAAGCATTCATGGGCCGTCTGATTCGAGGTGGTGCTGCTTCACTGCGACCATGACCAACTCGGAAAGACACGAAGCCTTCAGGATTGGAACCCGCTGCAAACTGGAGAGGAGATTCGAACCTCTGCCATTCAGTGCCAAGCTGGCCGAATGGGTTTGAGCTGGGTAGAGATAGTCGGCTGTCTTGGAAATCGGGAAAAACTGGGACGGTTGAAACTGGATTCGCGACGCTGGTCGGCTGCATTTTGAGATCGTCCTCTTCCCAACGTTGATTGACTAATCCTTGAAACCTAACGTTTCTGCCGGCCGAACTCGTTTGCTTAACTTATCACAAACAGTCCACAAGTCCAGATTTTTTCGATGTTGACTGTCGTAAATAGGTTAGGAATATAATGCAAGAGGTCTCTGAATCTGAAAACAAGGGCTCTTAAATAAAAATCTATGATTTTGAGGATGTCTTGTATAGATTTAACTACGGTATCATGTATCACTTCACTGCTGACTGGTCTGGGAAGACAGGAGAAAATAGCTGAACACTGCACACACACACACACACACAGACCTCCCCATGCACCTCTCGAATCACGTGGTCGTTGTATTTCTGTTATTTCCTACAATACTCTGTGATACCTGGCGCAAAGACGTAGTTGTTACGTCATTAACCACAGGTTTGTCCTTTACAAAACGCAATTTTTGGAGCCAAAATACACTCAGGGTTTGCACATCGACGAATCCGCCAATGTAATAATCCAGAATTAGATCTACGTGTATCCAGTTCTCTTTCAAGAAAATACTTTGATTTTATAATTCACAGCACACACTTTTCTCCTTTAAAAAATTGTCCACAGACTACAGGCATTCAGTTATTTTAGAATACATAAAACAAGCGGTCACCAAACAAGATTTTATAATCAGCGGTTTCTTCTTCCACAATATGACAATTCGTCTTTGAATGACACGGAATAGCCTAGCTGGATTCTAATGAAGGAAGAGTCAGTCCTCTGTTTCTTTCACCCTTTGCACTCGAGTTTTTTTCACTGGTTGCCAAGACAAACAAGAACAACACTCTCCGTGACGTCGTCCTTTCTCATGGTGGTTTTACATGCCACTCAGTGTACCATTTGCCCGCGTCGTATCGTCGGTCGCCCTGGTATCTGCGAGAACGCCCATTCTCAGTGTCTGCGACGGCTCATCGCCCGATACACCCAACGACTACAAGACTGGCGAGGGGTGAGTTAAGAGCTCAGGGTCCTTGCGGTGACCTATCCGATTTCCAGACAAAAGTGAAGGAGAAAGAGAGAGGGACTGAGAGGCTTGCTGTAGAGCGACTTCTCGCGACTTTTGAAGACCCGATCCCTCTCCGACGTACTTTAATGGAATGTCTTTTGAAAAACCTCCAATACTTTTCTTTTCTTTTGACTATTTAGATATCTCTTTAGATATTAGTTGAGCACTAGTTATAATGCTATTTTTTTTTGGTCTTTGAAAGTGGTTGCTAAGAGATTATAAAGTTAATTAACAGTTAAGTCTGATGCTGAACAGCTCACTACAACCGCTTTCTCTGCTGCAAGCCTTCTAGTTTTTTGCAAAATTGATAATTAGTTGGGTTTAAAAAAAATAACAATATTAATTTCGAAGCTCTGATCGCCAGATCAAACAGGAAAATCCTTGTGCGTAAAATCCTAAGACACCGGCTCTCCAACAGTGATAATCTCGACGGTGACAACTCCAGTCTATTTATTCCTTCGTTGGAGTTGCGTTGAGAATCTCCTTGTCGCAAGCTGCATTGTCCCGGTGTGGGGATCTTCTTATAGTGCCTAGACCGTCCTAGAATAGACATTTATCTCTGGCCAATGACCGAGTAGAAAATATAACAGATATCAATATTTCCCTTTTTTTCATTGGTTAGAAGAATGTCCTCACTATCTTGTTTTATTTATATACTGGCCTGACCATGGCCGATAAGAGGCGTTATCAGCGAGTTTCCTGGTCTCATTTGCTTCAGTTTATAAATAGATTCTAACACTGACGATGCTGAAGAGGAGAGGGAGAGGGGACAGAGGGAGAGGGGACAGAGGGAGACACACATGACCACAGCTCAGTCGACGCTTCTTCAACACACCACAGAGATAAAAACTACCAGCAGATAAGAGCAGCGAGTTGGAGCGTGGTGGTCAAAGATAAATTTAGAATTTAAGTTAGAATAGAGCAAAAGCGTGTTATATGAAGATTACTGTAAGCGGTCACATGGCTGTGTTGTTTGTGAGACCTTCATGCTCTTAAAATTGATAGTTGATGTCCTTGAGCGCCATGACAAATGCAATATCGACTCGCTCGTGTTGCGTCCTGTCTTTGTTTTTGAAAAAATGTACAAGTAAAACTTCTACTCAATTTGATAAGACATTACGGGGACATAGTATTTCATCCTGACCTGACCCCC